TGACAGGTCTGCGGCTACGTAGCCCCTTACACAGCACAGTGTGATCCACTGTGTGTTCTAACACCTCTCTGTCATGGCCATCATTAAAGGGACACTACAGGCACCAAAACAACTTCATCTGAATTAAGTTGTTATGGTGCCATAAGGCCCCTGGAGGCACATTTACCCCAAGGGGTTCAACTGTTCTCGAATATGATATATGACATGATATTAAAGAACTGATCGTTCACTTGCTGCCTCATATATCCCATCCCTTGACTGGTGCCATTGTAACAATATAATCAATGTTATTCACTTCATCTGTCAGTGGCTTTAAAGGGATACTGTAGTGCCAGGAATACAAAGCTGTATTCCTGGCACTACCGATCCCACTGCCTGCCCTCTCCCTCCCTCCCTTCCTACCTGGTAAATAAAGGGTTACAAACCCTTTATTTACTTACCTGATCCCAGCGCCGATGTCCCTCGTGCTGGGTCAAAGCTCCACCCCCTCTTCCATGCCGCGACGAGTGGGGTCTAATGCACATGCGCAACAAATGCAGTGCGCGCATTAGACCTCCCCATAGTAAAGCACTGAATCAATGCTTTCCAATGGGGGTAAATCTGACGCTGGAGGTCCTCATGCAGAGCGTGAGGACATCCAGCGTCAGATAATGAACCAAAAGTCTGTTACGATTCAGGAAGCGCCCCCAGTGGCTGTCTGGTAGACAGCCACAGAGGGCAGACTTAGTGCTGCAATGTAAACATTGCCGTTTCTCTGGAACGGCAATGTTTTACATTATTATTATTATTATTTATATAGCGCCAACAAATTCCGTAGCGCTGTACAATGGGGAAACTAACAGACACATAATTGAGACACATTGCACCACTAAGCACCCCCATGATACCATTTGCAATAGTAGACAACCCAAGGTATTGCAAATGGGGTATGTCCAGTCTTTTTTAGTAGCCACTTAGTCACAAACACTGGCCAAAATTGGCGTTCAAATTAGTTTTTTGCATTTTTCACACACAAACAAATAATAACACTAAGTTTGGCCAGTGTTTGTAACTAAGTGGCTACTAAAAAAGACTGGACATACCCCATTTGTAATACCTTGGGCATTTAGGTCAGCCCGAAAAAGGACGGCATAGAACGCCCGCCGTCCTTAATGAGCTTTCAGAGGTGGACAGGGTTCATCATGGTCACTCTGACAGGTCTGCGGCTACGTAGCCCCTTACACAGCACAGTGTGATCCACTGTGTGTTCTAACACCTCTCTGTCATGGCCATCATTAAAGGGACACTACAGGCACCAAAACAACTTCATCTGAATTAAGTTGTTATGGTGCCATAAGGCCCCTGGAGGCACATTTACCCCAAGGGGTTCAACTGTTCTCGAATATGATATATGACATGATATTAAAGAACTGATCGTTCACTTGCTGCCTCATATATCCCATCCCTTGACTGGTGCCATTGTAACAATATAATCAATGTTATTCACTTCATCTGTCAGTGGCTTTAAAGGGATACTGTAGTGCCAGGAATACAAAGCTGTATTCCTGGCACTACCGATCCCACTGCCTGCCCTCTCCCTCCCTCCCTTCCTACCTGGTAAATAAAGGGTTACAAACCCTTTATTTACTTACCTGATCCCAGCGCCGATGTCCCTCGTGCTGGGTCAAAGCTCCACCCCCTCTTCCATGCCGCGACGAGTGGGGTCTAATGCACATGCGCAACAAATGCAGTGCGCGCATTAGACCTCCCCATAGTAAAGCACTGAATCAATGCTTTCCAATGGGGGTAAATCTGACGCTGGAGGTCCTCATGCAGAGCGTGAGGACATCCAGCGTCAGATAATGAACCAAAAGTCTGTTACGATTCAGGAAGCGCCCCCAGTGGCTGTCTGGTAGACAGCCACAGAGGGCAGACTTAGTGCTGCAATGTAAACATTGCCGTTTCTCTGGAACGGCAATGTTTTACATTATTATTATTATTATTTATATAGCGCCAACAAATTCCGTAGCGCTGTACAATGGGGAAACTAACAGACACATAATTGAGACACATTGCACCACTAAGCGCAAAAGGGACACAGCTCCCAGTCCAGCTCAATGAGCTGAAGTGGTCTGGGTGCCTACTGTGCCCCTTTAATGTTGTGGCTGATCAGTGTATATAATTTACTGTTCAGTGATACCTAAAACAATTAAAATTATGTATAGTTATACAATTTTAACATTTCATTAATTTGTTCCATCTTTACATCAGTGGAGGTTAAACGTTTTTTGAGATCATCTTATTTTGAGCATATTCCTTATCTTGTAATATTTCAAAGGTTAAAATATTTGCACAAAAGCAGAAATACAAGTGTTTTTTCATACAGAATCTAAAAGAAAAAAAACATTTTGCTTGACTATAAAAATGGTCAAATATCTTGCGTTTGGGTATTTGTGAACAAGGTCAGCACAAAGATTTAAATGAAAAAAATTAATTAATCAGCGAGTGAATAATATTTAAATAATGCCATAAATTTCTTACAACATTTGTTACCTATGCCTAAATTAGTACAACTTCTTGGTGTTAATCTGGCCCTGAAAAATTGTGTGGGTGATGGGTGAAGTATTTCACGCTGCTTAGATAATGAGAGCTACTTGAATGCTGTTTTGGTGATAGTAGATTTATGCATGGTGTGTGGGTGATGGGAGCTGTATGAATCTTGTTATAGCGATGGTAGCTATGTTTGCAGTTTTATTGTCTGGAGCAAGATATCCAAATAAATACTATTATGCTATTAAAACACCCAAGCCAGCTGTAGTGATTATAATGCCAGAGTAACCCTGGTGCCATTTCCCAGTCAGGAAACAAACCATATTATAAACAGTCTTGCTGGGAGCATAGCCTCACAGAATGGAGGCTAAGTAGCATCCATCTTTTGCAGAGGTGATACTATAGTTTATTCACTGGCGCAGAGCATCAGCTGGGCTCTCTCAGCCAAAGAATGAACCTCTTTGCATAGAATACTCTTGTTCCTGGCTGACTAATGAGAGCTGCCAGAGATCAAAGGATCTCCCCTGCCAGTCCATGTAGAGTAGCACTGACCAAAAGAGGGAGCTCTCAACGTTCATGGGCCGGTGGGGAGATTAGGTTCCCAAAGGTGCAGACCAAATAACCAAGTCACTGGTTCACTAGGGATCAGCATGCCCCCTGCCCCCTTCCTGCAAGCTAAGATAAAGGAGGAGGGAATTAATGTTTTTTTTATTTTTTTTATTATTATTAAATTAATTAGTAATTAAGCCCCTATCCACCTGCTACATATACCGCCTATGAGCACACACAATACTCTCAACACACACTATATACACATGCACACTACACTCCCTATATTCACAAACGACAGCACCTGTACAAACATGTGCGCTACAACCCCTAGACACAGACACCACAGCACCTAGATATACAAACAATGCAACCCCTGCATACATACACACTCACTTCAGCTCCTATATGCACACAAACACACACTACACCCCCTCCACACGACACACTACACCCCCTAGACACGTACTCCAGAGGACCTGAACATATACAATTTCTACAGCCCCTAGTAACACCACTAAATTGTAAGCGCACGCTTTAGATTGCAAGCTCATGGACAATCTAGCTAAGCACTTTGTATAAAAGAGCTTTAATGGCTAGATGTCAGCTTACGGGCAGGGCCCTCTCAACCTTTTTTATTTGTCTGTGTATATTGTACATCCTCCACTTACTGTACAGCGCTGTGGAATCCGTTGGCACTTTATAAAAACCAGTAATAAATAAAAAAATAACAAACCCCTTTAAAAACACACTAAACAGCCTCCTCTTCACACATGCAATCCCACAAGCAGCCACCAAACACATACAAAATTGCATGCACAACATCCTTTATGGGCCCTGTCCTACTTTTGTCCTATGGTACCCACCTATTGGTAGCATCGGAGACAAATCACTAGTAAATGCAGTGCATGTGTGTTATTAAATTTGCTTGCTGTGCATAAACAATAACAGGGTATTTTCACCATCCGACAGCAATTTAGCAGCGCTTTGCACATGGAGGGGCATCAAAGGAGAGCATGAAACTAACATACTCATTATGGGGGCATGTTTGCATTGGTGGTGACATTTCTTGCCCCCTTTCAGGCCCAGCCCCTTCTATTGGGCTACTCTACCTTTAACTGCCCGGTCCACAGTATTGTCCTAATCTGTCCCAGTCTGTTCATGAAGTGTTTCACACATGGTAAATATGGGGTGAAATGCAGCAAATGGGGGAATCTGGCAATTTTGAATGACAAGGTACAAATGGCAACATAGCATTTATTAGATGATATAGCACAAATAGGATGGAAAGTGGCGAATATAATGTAGTGACATTTGTAAAAATCATAGGTGTCATGTGGTTAGTTTCATTCTGCTTAAGACAGTCTCTCACGCTAAGTCTGTCTTTGTCAGTGTGTATGTCCAGGATTGGCCTTAGGCTATCAGCAGCCTGTGCAAAAAATGTTCCCAGCACCCTCTCCCTGACCATATCCCCTATCTGGCAACACTCTGCCTTTGCTGCACACTCTTCTACAATAGCTACCATCATATTAAACATCCCATTCTTTTCAACCTTAAAAGAGAAAAAAAAAAGTAAAACTTTTTTTTACCTATAGATTTTAAAATGAGTAGTTCAAATAAGTATAATTATCAAATACTACAGAAATAAACTATCTTTAATAGTAATCAATATTTGTGGAGGTCACAAAGCGATCACCCCAAGGCCAGGCCCTCTGTATGTCAGTCTCTGTTAGTCCATTTTAGTCATTCTGTATTAGCCAGTTCCCGTGAGTATTAGCCAGCCCCAGTCTGTCTGTCCTTGCCAGTCTGTATTATTTAGTTCCAGTCAGTCTGTTTTAACCAGTCTGCGTCCCTTTTAGTCAGTATTAACCTGCCCCAGTCTGTATAAGCAAGTCCTTGCTAGTCCGCATTAGCCATTTCCACTAAGTCTATATTATCCAGTCTATATTAGCCATTCCAGTCAGTATATTTTAACCAGGATATTATGGTATGTACTTGACAATTCCCATCTGTAAAACTGATTTTCCTTTTTAGCTCATGGGCATGGACCTCTACCCTTTGTATCGGTCTGTTTATTTTGCATTTTCTTTTTCCTAATTGTACAGGGTGGCCCGTAAGTCCCTACCCATCCATATATCGTATGTTTCCAGTGTATCTGTGTACTGGATGGCTAGGGACTTATTGGCCACGCTGTACATCGCTGCGGAATATGTTGGAGCTTTCTAAATGTAGATGTATGTTTATTTTTCTTTATTCCTTCATTGTACAGTAAATTAAAAAAGTAAAATACACAAATTGCAATAAATGCATTACTAGAACACTAGTGAACCTTAAAAAAAACAACCTTGGTTTAGTAAATTAATTCCAATGTATTTGAAATATTGCAACGCTTTACTTTTATCATGCATTCTGTGATGGAAGCCACAGGAACTCTGTACATTCTATATAATGGGGGCGGCTCAGTCTATGATTTATTTTAATGTAAATGTAACCTCAGGGCGCAGGGGTTGCTATGACAGCACTCCCAGGTGTAAACAAGGAGCCCAGGTGCAGAGGTGATATACAGCCATACACAATAGCGCATGCGCACTAATATCTCTGCAAAACACTCGTACAAAAGCCAGGGCATTAAATCTGTCTAGCAACAAGGCCCAGCCGACCAATCAGCAGCGCCGCCTCCACAACAGCCAATCCTAGACTTCTCAACTTGCTACTGTCCAATCGCCTGCCGCTGGTCTCATCCAGCCAATCAGCGTTCAGAAAAATTCGGGCGGTCTTTTCAAACTGAACTTGACAGCCTGTGGGAGGGGCAGTTGTTAAAACCCACTGACGTATGACGGTTCTCTGACAAATTCCTCCGCCGCTTCGTTTATTCTCCCTTTCTTTACCGGTCCGTTATAAACCAAATAACTCCCGCTTCACGTCTCGCAGAGCCCGCCCGCGGCGGCTAGTTTGTCGCTTAAAACGTCGCTGGCGCTGTTTTCGCCGGCATTCTTTGGGACTATTTTACTACCGGCGCTATTTTCTTTTTTGTTGTTGTCCCTGATGTGAATCTCTGCGCCCGGTGACGTCTGGGGTAGCTGGGCGTTGAAGGCTCAGAAACAAAAACAGTCAAAGGATATAGGAACTGAGCGGGGAGGCCAGCTCTGTGAGGGCAGAATATCCTATCCCATCAATGCAGCAATAAGCGGTGCCGGGAGGCGATGTGCCCAGCACTGTACATTATCTGAACCCGTTATAGCTGGCTATTGGGTCACCATGGCACTGGAGTGAGCGCACCCACAGCCTGGCAGCAGCAGCCCCTATGTACAGACACTAAGGAACAACACAGGTAGGACACAGGCTGTATTCTAGAACGGTGTGATCTGTTACAGAAACACGAATAACATGTATCATGGCTGCTTAACTAATATATATATGTATGTGTGTTTTATAACCCACCTCCTATAGACTGTAAGCTTGTTTGAGCAGGCTCCTCTTCAACCTATTGTTCCTGTAAGTTTTCTTGTAACTGTCCTACTTATAGTAAAAATTCCTCCCTTTATAATATTGTAAAGCGCTATGGATAATAAGCATAATAATATAACATATAGCTCCAACTGTGGACATTACTATATATATATATATATATATATATTCAGTCCTTAGTCCTCCTCCGATGCTCTCTAATTGCTTTACTTTGTATGGTTTAAGGTGTTTTTGTCTTTGTATATAATCACTGTACCAGGTACTGGTTTGTTTATTGTTTTTGTAATTGGTTCTAATCTGTTTTGTATATGAAGACTGTACATTTCTCCTAATACAGAGATACAGTGCTTTGCAACTGGATGGGGGAGATATATAGATATATATCTATATCTATATATCTATATATCTCTGAAGTATGTACCGTTCTCATACAAGAGGTACAGTGTAGGCCTCTTTTTGTAGCAGAAATAACTAGACATTTTCTTTGCAAATGATCTCTGTATGCTGTATTCCAGTTTACTTAGACAAAGCTATGCACAGGGTTTGAACTGAACTACAAGGTTTTTTTTTTTTTTGGTTATTAATCTGGTACAGAAATCCACTGGATTGGGGAATTTAATAGTCATTAAATACTTTAAAGTAAACAAGTTTTCCTATATAGCTTAATTAAGGGTGGTATCACTCTTACTAAGAGTTCGTGGTACTTTAAAGACACTCTATTTTGCTTTTAGTAGGTGTTCATTTGTTTATCTAGGGAAAGGGCTTTGGGCTAGTTCTAAATCAGCTGATCTATTCTCGAGTAAACAAACAAACGAAATCCCCTAATCCTCCCCTTAGGACAGCTTCCTTGCACTGTGTAGACGTGACTTATAACCACTATCCTGATGAAAAACAAAGTGGGGCTAGGCTGAATGTCTGAGCCCCTCCCCTCTCTCCTCCTTTTAGGAAGCTAATTCTGCTCAGACTGACAAACACACCCACACATCAGCTGATCACTGCTTACTGAAAAAAGTGAAAAGGTTATAGGTTGTTTATTCTCCCTATTTTTGGTTCCTTTGTCTTAGTTTTCAAGATGAAGGACTTGGTAGCCATGGATAACACCAGTAATGAGGCCTTCAAGCTAATGAAACAACTGAATGTGTATCTGGAGCAAGAATATAAGTACCAGCCTAAGGAGAAGGGCTTGATTCTCATAGAATCCACAGCAGAGGTGAGAACTATGGTGTAATGTTTTATTCATGTGGAAACCTATTCTATTAAACCCTAGCAAACATCTTCATAGATTTATAGGAATCTGATTTCCATTGCTTAATGTAACTTTCTTTCTTTTATAGTTAATCATGTGTATTCTCTCATGTTGTCGTTTTTGTCATACTGTTATGTATCTGTTGTTGCTATATTTGTATAATAACATTGCATTGACAATTATAGCTAATCAATGCGCTAGGTTCATTGTAAGGGTTATTGTCCTGTAGAAACTGTGTGCTTAGTTGATCATTACCATTAGAAGGCAATCTATACAGTCTAGTTGCCAAAAAGCATTTATTTAGTTGTACAATTTGCTAATTTTTTTTTTTTCCTTCTTGTAGAATGACAATACTATCTGTCCAAGATTGAGAAATGTGAAGGTTGAAGATCTCTGGAGTCTAACAAACTTTTTTGCCCTTAGTATGGAAACCTTTGTACTGTCTGTAAACATACTGGACCGTTTCTTGGCAATAATGAAGGTAAATGTACTGATTTTCTTTTATTTTTAAATAATTTGTACATTTGGTGGGATTAGTTTTTTGTTGTGCCTTATTAAAAACCTAATTGCAAATTTTGGCATTTGCATTATTTTACTAATGCCATTTTGTCCCCTCTCTCCTTTTTTGTAGGTGAAACCTAAGCACTTGTCCTGCATTGGGGTCTGCTGCTTTCTGCTGGCTGCTCAGGTTGTTGAAGAAGAATGCAATATTCCATCCGTCCATGATATCATTCGTATCAGCCAATGTAAATGCACTGTGTCAGACTTGAAACGAATGGAGAAGATAATATCTGAAAAACTGCACTTTGAATTTCAAGCTACCACTGCCTTAACGTTTTTGCACTTGTACCACACAATAGTCCTGTGCCACTCCTCTGAGAGGTGAGTGTATGCATCCTAACTCTTGAAACTTTTTTGATTGCGTTGGTGCAGCTTTGATGATAAAGAACATTTTTAATAAGCTAGGCAAATGACATGTCACTTTTTTTTTTTTTTTTTTTGTAGCTTTGTGCATATTGCAATTATGTAATGTATTGAAAACCCCTTTTTAAACCACTGCAGGAAAGAACTATTGAATCTTGAGAAATTGGAAGCTCAGCTAAAAGCCTGCAACTGCCGACTTGTTTTTTCTAAAGCAAAGGTGTGTATTTTGTGTCATTACCTTATTTCTGGTGATGTAAGAATAGTGCTTTACTGTATCGCCCAATGTATGTACATATAGGAACCTGCAGAATGCATGTTGCAGCTCCTTTTGCATGACATTGGTGGAGAAATGTGAAAATAGTCTTCTTCTAAACATGAAAACTCCAATTATTAAGAAGGGGGGAAAAAAAGTCCTAAACTTAGAGTTGGGGCAGTCTCCTCACTGCAGCCCAATCCTCTGCTGGAGCCATAAAGTCTGACCTGTGTCCAATCAGTTGCTTCTCATACAGAAATATTAAGCACACGTGGCGCTTATGACCAGTCTGCCAATCCATTGCTTGGAATTTGCAAAATGTAAACACTGATGTTTCTTGGAAACTGCACTGTTTCATTTGCAAGGCTTTAGGAGTGGTATCTATGCACCCTTACAAAAATAATGCATATGACCTCTGGTGGAAAAAGTAGCATTGTGTCACAGTAATTTAAAAACAAAATGTTTCCCTAATTCTCCCAGAATTTACAACTCCAATGCAAATGAGCATCCTGTATGCTCCATTAGAAGTGAAACTGTGTGCTGTAGTATATATTAAATGTGTATATTTTCTTTTTCCCCTTTAGCCCTCAGTATTAGCTCTGTGCCTTTTGACTATTGAAGTGGAAACCTTAAAGTCTCTGGAACTGTTTGAAATTGCTCTGCGTGTCCAAAAACACTCAAAGGTAAGGGCAAATGGTATGCCCTAGTAATGAAATGCACAAGGCAACAATGATAGAAACGTGACAGATGGTACCTAGTTAAAAGTGGTTTACTGAAAGATACAAATATATATATATATACACACACATATATAATGTGTGCTTTATTTATTTTTTTAAATTTTTTTTTAAATGCAGCCTCCCTATGGCTAAGAGTTTTGACATCTCTGATAAACAGCAAGGCACTTTCCTGTTCTGCTGCATTGATTTGCTAAGGTCATTTTAGTTATGATCCCACCCACATTTGGTGTGGAGAAGGCATCACTATGTTTATTCCTTATTTATACATTGTAAGGTTTCTACAAAAGTAACAATTTACTGAAATTGTTGATATTACAAATGATCTCTCCACTGACAAAATTCATGATAATCTTGTCACTTTTCAGGTGTCATTCTCTACTTAACCCATGTAAAGTTATACACTAGGTACAATATTGAAATTCAAACGATATTTAGGCAAAAATGGCTGATTTTTTTTTTTGAGGAATTTCTCACCTTGACTGTAGTCACATCTTGGCTATTTTTGCCATTATAATTAACTACAATTCAGAGCTGGCTTATTGTTCATCACTCATTGCATTATTTTATATGTAAATTGTTTCCCATGAGATGGTTATACAATTATTTTTTTTTTTTTTTTTTTTGTAAATTTTTCTATGAATGTTAATTTCAGGTTAATGATGCTGATATGCTGTACTGGAGGGAGCTGGTATCTAAATGCCTGGCAGATTATTCATCTCCTGAATGCTGCAAGCCTGATCATAAGAAACTTGTGTGGATTGTGTCCAGGCGCACTGCTCAGAACCTTCACAACAGTTACTACAGTGTTCCGGAACTGCCTACTATTCCTGAGTGTGGCTGCATGAATGAGAGTGAGAGGTAAAACAAAAGTTTTTTTTTTTTTTTTTTTTAACAACCACAACAGTTCAATAGTTTTTTGTTTATAGATTTGTATCTGAAGCAAAGCTTCAGATTTGTAGTCAATGCTACTAGATAGACCTTAAAAGTAGTATTTGTCATCTCAACTGTATTGGGGGGGATTAAGTGTGTTCTGATTTTATACTTTCTGTATATACTTGTATTTTATATTTATTACATATATATAATTTTGTTTCCCCCTAATATTAGTGAGGACTCATGTGAAGATATGAGTAGCAGTGAAGATTCATTAGGCACATCGCCTCCCAGTGATCTTGAGGCATCTTTCTTCTTTGATCACAAGCCAAAACTGAAGCGTCGCACACGTCACCTTTACCCTTTGTAACAAAGGGTGGAAATAATTGTATGCATGCCAAGTAGTCTTAATTTTGTGTGTATTGTATGAAGATGTGGAAGAAATGGTAGCTGCATAGCTCACTTTTCAAACCTTTTAACTCTTACGGTTTGCCAATGGGTTTTTAAAATCTAAACAAAGTTTAAATACTGTTGCAAATATATTGCTATGTTTTTTTTTCTTTTGTTTTAAATTCAAAAAAGCAGTTTTCTTACAAAAGCCCATTGTTAACTTATTTCATCTGTTGGGCTATGCACTTTTTTTATTTTTTTTTGGAAATGTAAAACTACTCGCTAGTTATGTGGCTTTTCTGAAATTTATTTTAAAAAAATACTTTCAGCAGTTTAAATGAAAAAGTTATTTTATTATACAAAAGTTCCCATTTGTTTTGGCTGCCTCTTCCTCATATTCAAGATGGATGCTTTTGTTGAATTTGCAGTACTGTTTAATGTTATCATTAGCTACATTCCTTTCTAAGAAGTTTAATGTTTAAACTTTTATAATGAACAAACAAAAAATATCTTCATATGCATGGCTATTATGTTAAACAACCTTGAATTTGTAAGTACCAAGTAAAGATAATGTGATGCTTGCCTACCTTGGTGGTATATTTTGCTGTGGAGACTAATGGTGTTTTTTGGAAACACCTAAACAAAGCAGACGTTACCAAAGTGCTGCATTTTAGAAGCTAAAGGACATATCAGCAAATACTCAGTTAATGCCTATTTACACTATTCAGTTTTTACTGTGCAGTTTTTCTAACTTTTTTCCTTTATATGAAAGCACAATGGAAAAATCTGTATACAGATATGACAAACTTCCGGTTTAATTGCCAAACTAGGTGGATACATATGCATAGCTTTCTCACTCAGTCCTATTCTAGTAGCTAGAGAAACTACTGCTCCTTAGTCTGGTGTGTTACCAGTCCTTCCAGTGTTCTAGACAGATGAAGACTAACTTGGCATTCCAGAGGTCTGTGAATATATTTCCATGGATGTTCAACAAACCTAAAGGGTTGCTATAAGGGTATAATATGATCTATAACTTGGTCATCTTTGGGTGGGGGGCATGGCTGGCCATCCATGTTACAGTTAATTAGCACGTTTTTTATATAGGCTTGCTTGTCTTTTTACGAGTGACTGGAGACCCTTCCAAATTGTCTATCCATGTGCAATATATCACAAACCCCTTTTACACTCAAGGGCTTAGAAAGCGAACTCAAAAACAGCATTGTTTTTAATTGTTGCAAGATGTGGCCTTGTGAAAATGCTTTAATTTCTAAGTATTTTTGGTACCAACTGTGATTAGTGAACACATTAAACAGAAACAAATGTGACTAACCTAGAGGTGCTTGTAATATAGATGTGGTGCTGTAAGTATTATTGTTTGTACAGTTTTGTTGGATAAAAAGAAAATGTACAGAAAAAAATGTAAATTACAAAAAATGTACAGAAAAATGTATAAAACCAAAATGCAGAGAAAAAAATGTATTTTTTTTACATGTATGTAGTGTTTTTGTTAAATGTCATGTAGATATTAATTTATTCCATTTGGATTCTATTGCATATTGGGCTGTTGTGTGCCTTTCTACATCAGTCTTAACCAATTAAATATTTTATTTGGAAATCTGTGTGTGTTTAATTTTATACCTGGGGAAGGATTGACGGGCATGAGTGGGCAAAACAAGGAAAAGACATCCAGAACAACTCTGCATCTGGAAATGATATTCGGCTATTAAATTAAGTCTTTCCATTCATATTATCAAACGGGATGGTTTCATAAATTGGGGTGATTATACGGATAGCAACAGTTAAAAACAATTGGGTCTTCCTCTCACCACATGCACATAACTGAAATAAATGGATTTAGCTGTACAATCCACTACTCGAAAATCTTGTCTGATGCCTTTGCAAGCACTTCACTTCTTTTCCTAGGTCAGACTTGCTGTGACCGTCTAATCACAGACTTTCCAATGCAGCTCTATGTGGAGACTTTGCAATGCAGGTACTATGGACTATCACTGCCTCTTGAGTTTAGCTTTCCTGAGCTACACAACCAGGAAGTAACTCGTCAGTTTAGGGGTGTAACAAGGTTGTCTTTTATTGAAATAGATTTATTTTTGTAAAATGAACAAAGGACACAACGCACATCAAGCTAAAGTACGTTATGTGTTTGTTTTTCCTTTTAAGTATACTATAAACACAAGCAAACCCAATGCTTCCCTGTTATTTTTGCAATGTCTGTCTTTGTGGTATGGACATGATTGCTTAATCTGCTGTTTAGAATGTACACCAGGTGCCTATGTTTCATATGTAGACAGCTATTCTAGGAAAGTCCTTTTTAGTAGTGTCCCGAAACACTCCTTTGCCACTCCCCTCACATTTCCCAGTCTCCGAAAGAAACGTACCTTTTGTGGCCAATAAAAAGAGGCATGGCTTGTCTAGTGAAAGGAATGATTGCAGCACTGTAGCTAGAGCCCAAATGTGCTCCCCTCACTCCCTATAATACATTCTCCTGCAGTCCCTGTCAGCCAACCTCCCTACCCACTGTTACCACCCTTCACTGCCAGCCATCCTCACTACCCACTGTTAAAGCCCTGCCAGTACCTGTAAGCAAACTTTACTACCCATGGTTAACCCCTTCCTTGTCAGTCAACCTCACTATCCACTGTTCACCACTTTCCCTCCAGTCTCCGTTAATTAACCTCCCTAGATAGTTATAAGAAAGAACACAAAGCTCTAAGTATTTGAGTTTAATTGTCTCTTTATATTTTTAATAAACATGACACTATATAATACCTAATGTAATGTGTGTGGGATTTGGTATGTAAGTTCTAGCGTCTGAATTTTGTATTTGTAGTATAACTTAGGTTGAGTACTTGGGCAGGCATTGTGAGATTCTCTCTTTGAGAATCACTAGAGCATGGCCATTGGTGGACAGTCGGGCTAAAATACAGGAAGCCGGGAGAATGCAAAGGGGAAAATGAAATGCAATCACACGAGAAGAAAACCTGATCAAAATAAATAAAAAAAAAGTACTTTTAAAGCGCATGCAAATTCACAAAAATAAGTCCTGCGCTCAGACTCCCACTATTCCTGGGTGGCAGCAATGACCATAGTACACATCAGCCCCAGTACGTACAATAAAAACCAGTGAAAATAATTATTTGCTATCCCAAATCCCTATCTTCTAATGCTCTGTTTTACACTATTTAGGGAAAAAAGCATTTAGTGACTGTAGGTTTACTGCTGGGAAGAGAATAGGCTCTTTTTTTTTTTTTACTTTTTTTTTTTTTTAAACCTATGCAGTTCCTTTAATGCAGTTTTTTTTTTTTTTATTCCATCAATTAAGGGTTATTTTTGGTAACTAGATTTCATCTCACAATGATATAAGCAATTTGGAATTTTAATGGATGAGATGTTAATATGTATACTGCCCAAACCTGATTTTAATATAATGAATAGAAAATTATTTATATATGTTTACGTGTATAAAGACAAGCTAGACCAGTTTCTGTGATGTAAATTACATATAAGCAAACCAAAATAAAAAACTATGCTAGGCCTTATAATCTGCCAGAAATGTATATTAGCACTCAGTAATGAACAGAATATTCAATAACCGGGGATAGGAAATGTTTTTATTTACATTCACATGTGACTAGATACAGCGCTCTGTAAAATCCAGAGACCTCATTGTTTATATTGGATGGCTACTCCTTTTGAGTCAGTGTGTCTGGTGGGTTCGGTTCCCCTTGTTGCCTCTTCATGTCAGAGGCAGTGTGAGTATCTACAATGAGGTTCCTCAGGCCTTTCATGTAGCAAAGAGGAAATGTACACAGAATGCTGACTGGGATACAATGTTTGAGTTGCTCTTTCTCATTCGGGTATACGGAAGTGGCAAATAAATTAGTAGAGTTCTGGTAGAGATCCCTAACCTAGCTCTGTATCAGAGCACTTTCCACTATCAACAGATGTTGGCCTTGTAGAAGTCCAAGTGGGATGGTTTTCCACATTTGGTGAGACTGTACTCTGATTATACCCTTGTCAAAGCAAACAGAAGATCAAAGAATGGTTTCCTCTACCCCCACCGACCCTTAATCTTTGACCTGAACATCTAGGCTTGCGCAAAAATTAGTTTCAGACAAGTTATTCGTAATCAAATGTCTTTTAATCCACACCATGACTAATCGGCCATTGGGAGATTTACATGTGGAATCATATATTTATTGAATAAGATAGATTTATTTGGATGTGGATTAAAAGACATTTAATTCTGATTAACTATCCTTGTGGCGGTTCCTGCACCATGGCTGTTTTACTGGTGCAAAACTCCTAAACTAACACTTTTGTAAAAGAGCCTATTACCCCTCCCACTGTGTACAAATGCCCTTAAAACCATAGTGCACTTACCGTGGTTTCCAGAGCCATTGCCTCACATGAGATTTCCATTGAGGTGGGTCTCATTACCAAGTAACAGTTGCTAGGCATGGAGCAAGGATCCTGACTGCGCGAGGAGCTACAAAGTGAAATGCATTTTTTTTTTAAAAGATACAGTCCTACAAAATGCAATCTAATAAATGCAATCAGATAAGATCAGGCTGTACCTGCAAAAGTAAATATATGTATATAAAGAAACATCCTCATACATTCAAACAGCACATAACTAATAAGCCTCTACTTCAAACATGTCAAATTTATGGCCCACAATGGATATATTTGCGGCCCACTTGCCCTGGGGCCTCTTTCTGTTGTGGCTGCGACTAGTCGTACGACAGGAAATATATTTCCTGTCTGATTCTTGTCTTCGCTCGCATGCTCACGCAGGTCAGCAACTCCCCCTTCCCTCATGCTCGCAGTGCCAGAGGAGCGTCTGGCTGCTTAAGCAGAAAAGAGCAGGACTGGAACTGGAGGACAGGCGGCTCATCTTAAGGGAGAGGAAGAGTTTTTGTAATGAGTGAATAGAATTGTCTGATATATGAGTGAAGTTCTGGTGGGATGAACTGAAAGCAAAAGCCTAAAATACAAGTAAAACCATAAATGAAGTCTTGGGGGGGGTGAGGCCTGACCGCCATGCTGAGTGGAAGCACAGAGGAATAGCTCCTGAAAATGTCTCGAGTTTTTGGCTCTAAAATCCAGCAAAATACTTATTAAAAGCCCGATACCTATCCCCCAGCGAAAGAGGCAACCCTGGTCCCGAGGAGAGGCTTGCCGTGAGGTTCTAGTCCCTCGGTGGGGCGATCCCAGCTGAACGCGATGGAGACCGCCCGGGCCGTGAGTGGGGTGGACAACCGCCGCCCAGCTACCCTGCCCACCAGCGGTAAGGCAGAAACGCAAAGTTAGGCGGGTCTGACTCCCTCTCCCCCATGGACAGACGGGGGTGATCCCGGTCCCCACCCTGTGACCCAGTGACCCAGTGAAGTGCCGCAACACCAGCAAGAGTCCGCTCCCGAGATGGCGGAGACCGCATAGTAGAGCAGCCGGATGCACCCTCCTCTCCTGCTCCCATACAGGCGAATCGTTGACCGCACCAAAGAAGGCACCGGCGAGTAAGCGATTACCTCACACAAACTAAGGAGTAGCAGCATAACAGCCCGACACACAGGCGGATAATGAACCCGAAGAGGGAACACGTTACAAGGCCTTGGACCAACCTGGCACACACCCAGGTCCCTGAAGGGGACCCGATTCGGAAGATCTGCCCACCCACAGCCACTAAACCGGGACTCACCACATGCCCAAGACAGGTGCTTGACTGGAATACAAGTGACCCAGGAATAAAGCTTCAACCCCCTTACAAGGCCAACGGGACTATAAGTACAGAGGCAGACATTAAGCATTTTATCACACTACACTGCACACTAAGGGTTCATCTTGAATGCCGACATAGACTCTTACCAGGCTGACAAGGGGTTAACATGGGGTGGTTATTTTAAGCATTTCAAGTGTTGAAGCACAATCTTTACTGTTGACACTGCTTTTCTGTTTTAAGCCTATGTCCCTATCAAGCACTAAAAGCTCAATTACTCTACTGTTCTTCAACATGTAACCCACATACATTACTATAAGCTTATGTGTACCCAACTATGTTATTCAAATGCCTTACCAAGCATGTTCATTATAACTTAACAAGTTAGTCTTTTTCATGTAATTAAAAAAAAAAAAAATGTGCCGTTTAAACTGCCACGCATTGTAATACTATGAAAATGCCGGCAGTTGCTGTCGTGGCTCTGCATGATTATTGTTATTTGACGCACAAATAAAATAAAGAATTAATAAAATAAATAAATAAATGAAGTCTTGGTTGTCAGATAGCAATATCATAAGGCAGGGATATAAGGATATTCTGGGGTGGGCTCTCAGTAATTTCCATGCCTTTAAAGATGGAGTAATAGATGGATGAACTGGAAGGGTCACATGGATTATACAGTTCCAAGGTAAGATGCAAAGGAAATTCCTGCTGTATTATTTTCTATCTAAACCTATCTTTTGTAGATCCTCCAAGGACCAGACGGCTATCCTGATGCTCTATGGTAACTTAAAGGGACAGTATAGTCACCAAAACAACTACAGCTTAGTGTAGTAATTCTGGTGTCCATGGCCTGTTCCTGCAGGCCTTTTAATGTA